CTCACCCACCCTGGTCCTCTTCTAGGTGCTTCGTCGAGAGCTATGTCCTTATGCACTATCTTGTTTCAACACCTGCTACATAATAAGGGGTATCTGTTCCTCCGAGGACAACGAGGACTATCCCGACGACTTGGACAACAGTTGTCGGGAGGGGTCCTAGCGCTGACTCCTCAATATGCCTTACCTATTGCCTTTCCACCAATGTGGATTATGCACTATCTTGTTTCAACACCTGCTACATAATATGGGGTTCTCACTTCATGCATTTCTCTATGCATGCGTTCCTTGACGTCATCTTGTCTGAGGATCTATGTTGGTTACTATTCTATGGTTGCTTCATTCTCTCTGTGATCATTGTACCCCTCTTCTCGTCGACGACATAGCTCTACGCTCACTGCACTTTTTAGGATGTTGAATCCAAATCTGTTAGAGAAACCTGTTTAAGGAATAAAACATTGAATGACGGGAAAGTGAGGAGAGCAGTAGCAAAATAATGAACAATAAATTTGCGTAACCTTTATTTATGATATTGACCCCCCTATTTATAGGAATGGGTCATCATTTAATTATATATTGTACCCTTAAAGTACGTAGATATGATAGGGGCATTTCAGTCCAAACATAAATTCGGCCCGTGGGACCCATAAGTGTGACTGGGCGGTTGTTGATCTGGTCGAACCTCAAGTCAGGCAGTGAGAAAAGGGCGGATGTTAAACCTAGAGGCTATTAGGCCGGGTGGCTACTTGCTGAAGCTCAAAATAAACCACATTGGAACTGGAGGTTCCTCTGTCTTTCTCGATTTATCTATGTTTGGAAATGACATGTTTTTCCAAGCAGACCTTCTTAGATGAATTCTTCAGGAGTGATCTTCTCCTTATCTGTCTGAGGCGCATCATCTTCCCGACATGTGCACTGCCTGACTAAACACGCGATCCTGACCTTGCTCTCGATAGGCCCTATGGGGTCACATCACCTCCTCCGCCATCCTTGAGATGTATTTGCGATTCGTGCTGACATGTTTTTGATGTACAGACTTGATATAAGCTTGACTTGAGTTAGACTCTTATGATCCTAAATTTGAATTTAAAAGAATTTTTTTTTTATCAAAAATGCATTGAAATTCATGCTCAATAAAAATTTATTGGTGACACATCAATATGATAATTCACATATATATTTTTTTTACAAAAAATAAATAAATTAAAAAAATAATTTATCTATATTAAATTTATATATACAAACAAGCTTAAATATTTTGAATACATATTTTTTTAATTTTATTTTTCTTGCACGTAATCAGACAAAAAAAAAAAAATCACCGTCTATTTATTTTTACTGATGATCATACAGCCCGTAAAAATACAATATCGGCTGCGTAAACCGCCCGCGCACAATACATCCTTATACTTCTTCCTGCGAGCATTATCTGCTTCTCGTCCTCTGGACAGAACGGCGCACCTCCTTCCACCTTTGGCTTCTCCTTCCTTTTCAAGTGACCATCTCTTCCGACGGCATGAGCTCCTTTTGTAAACCGAGATCTTGCTCTCCGCATCGCATGTCGTCTTTCAGCTAGGTTCGGCACGACAGTGACGTCGCACGCGAGGCTCACTTCCCTTCCTCTTCGAAGTCAGTCGGTTCTCCTCCTTCACGCGCGCCGACACAACTTAGCGCCGGCTTTGACAACCTCAGGCGAACCCACAGCAGTGGTGACGTCGTCTTCTCTCGCAAGCACCCGCACAGCATGACGACGCTTCTAGCCCCAGGTAAGTGATCGATATCTTTGCTTATTTCGACCAGGGTTGAAAAGGCGACCTTTCTTTTCTCTTCTTTTTCTTCCTTCCTCTTTTCACAAAACACTCTAATTTTCTTCCGCACACGAGTACTCTTGCTCTCGCCTCTTGTTTGTTTCCTTGCTTCTAGGGTGTTTGGCTGCGCCTAGGATTTAAGTTAAATATCAAATCCATTTGCTCAAAATCTATAATAATGTTGGGTTCTGTTAAGATTAAATCAACTTAAGGCAACGTTTGGCTGCATTACCGATTTACAGTAAACAGGATTTAGTAAATCTAAATTTATCAAATCCATTTTGACGGAGAAAAGCTTTGAAGCCACGGTCGTAAATCTGACTGTGACTTGTATTTAATAAATTGAGATTTACTTCAGGAAGAAACGAACACAAGGTAAAACAAACAGAATACAATAAAATTCGGTTTAATGGAGTGTTGGATTTAAGGTGCAGATTTTTTATGTTTGGCCGGATTGAAGTTAAATTCTTTACTAAATCCGCCTATTAATGCATTTGATGTGTTAGGTATCTTATTTCAATATTTAGTTTTCTTCTGCCCCAAATCTGTTAAATCCACATGAGGGGCTGTTTGACCGCAAGTAGGATTTAGTAAAACCTGGAAATCAGGCATTATCAAATCCTAAGGCTGCTAAATCCATTAAAATTGTTTGGTATGTTAACAGGTAAATCCTGAGAAACTGTTTGACAGCTTTAATAGGATTTAGTGCAAAAATTCACAATTGAGACAAAAGCCATGATTTAGCAGGATTCCGGCCAACCTACTTACTGCCATCCACCTTTCCCTTCCTCTAGCCACCACCCAGCCGGCTGCCCGTTAGTCTCACTCTCACCCTATAGAGTCGCATGTTTTTGTGCCACTTATTTCTTATTTTAAAGAGTCTCCATTGTAATCTTATGTAAGTTTAGCAATAATATTTGTCTTTCTATTGTGGTTTGGGTTAGCTTCAGTATCTTATATATTATATTGATAAAATATAATTTAAAAGAAAGGAAGATTTGAACTCAAATTCCATCTCTCCTAAGGGAAAAATTGGCATTTAAAGTTCACCTTAGATGTGATCAGCCTATCCTCTAACCAATTTTTTGCTTCAACCTGAAACAAAACATCAGGAAAACAAGTATTATTAGCAGAATTGCGCTTATAGGATCTACATTAAGCCCCGAAGAAGGAAGCTTAAGGGCCATAGTTTTAGGATTTGTGATTACTTCATTGAATAACTCTAATATACTTGCGAATATCTAAACATGTATCTAAATAGGAATAACATGAAAAATGAAGGAATGACATTCCTAAAATTAAAAATAGCCAATCGAAAGCTTTAGTTTATGACAAACAAACATTATGCCAATTAAAATGGTTTATCTCAACTACAAGGGTATTGCTATTGTGCCCAACTCAAAATCCAAAAAAAGGATTCATATTATTGAATGAATATGATTGAGTGTCATGATACACATTTGTATTGTATCATCCATCCAACAAGCTTGGAGTTTTATTTTGGGTTCTGATTTGGGTGGCAAAGTATTTCCATAGACATAAAATAATTTCAGAACCATGATTGATTAGGTGCAGGTGGAACATGAGAATTGACCAAAATGATGAAAAGCTTATCGGGAAAGATAAGGAAAACACTTAAAAACAAAAAAAATACAATGCAATCCTCATGTACGAAGCAGTGAATAATTTCAAATAATTTCCTGACCGGAAGGCAAGCATTCAAATAATTACTTAATATAACATTGTTTATAAAGTTAAAAAAACTTTGCACTGAACATGAAGAGATAGAAATCACCTCTCTTATTAACGACAAGCCGTGCGATAGAGTTGGGTTCATATTTATCTATCCAAAGCTCATTACATTTTGTACTATGATTCCCTGTTTCAAACTTCTCAGGAACAAACTATAACTTTAAAATTGTCCTTCTAATTAAGGGCCCATTTGGGGCAGCTTATTTGTGTGTTTGGCGTTTTGAAAATGCCGAACGCAAGTTTGTTTCGCCCGTCTGCTGGGAGGTTAGGAATCGCGCGACGTCTATCCTACAGTAATCACGGCCGCGGTTCGGACCTCACTTTCCTCGTACAATTTGAGCTTATTACCTCAAACCCCCCGATCCGGTCCCCGATCCCGGGTCCCCAATCTCTCGTCTGCCCTACTTCTCTCTGATCTCGTCTATGAGCTGGTTCACTCCTCCCCAACTCTTTCTCGTTCTCCCTCACTCACATCTCACTTGGTGCTCCAACTCTCTGTAAAAGTAATGCGTTTTGTTAATGCTTGTGTTGGATCTATGTATTCTATTGGTTTTTGATGGATTCCTTCATGTTTTTCGAATTCATTCGCCACTTTGTTCGATTTTTTTTGCCCGTGTTGGTTTTATCGGCTCTGGTAATGCCTTGTTGTTGGCTGATCTGTTATTATTAGTCATAGAAAAGATTTGGATGTATGGGTTTTTGATTCTTTGATGTCAATAGAAAAGATTTGGATGGCATAAATATATACAATATAGTTTTGGCTTTAGATAATTTAGCCCTCAAATGCATTGCCCCCCACAATCATCATCCAAGTTCTCTACTCTCCTCTACCAGTTTCTTTTATGTGTTAAGGTCAACTTTCTTTAGCTAACTGTTGATTTTAGAGTTCATGATAGAACTATTATGAGCTACAAAAATTTTACACTGGCATATTTTAATGCAAAAATTTAGCACTGGCATCCTCTAATATAGAAATTTAAGAGTTCATGATAAGCTATCTTTAGCACCTAGATTTTGAAGGCAATTGTTTGGAATGTCTTAGAAAGGAAATTTGTGATCTCTTTCTTTGTTAATTTTCTGAAGCATGGGATTGACATTAGCGTTCTGTGTAAATCCTTGGGCTTTCCCTTGGGTGATATATCTTACGACATACCTATTACAATTTGGTAACTTTTTTTTTGCATCGTAGAGGTTGGAAGATAGTTATGGATAAGCCATTGCAGTTTCACTCAAGATGGCTTGATGATTTTATTCAATAAGGTTCTGGTTATTTTTGTGTTCATACTTTGTGCTTCTCAGGTTCTATGTTAAACCCCATGCTTTGGCGTGCCTGTTGGAATTTGTGGTTGTTGATTGCCTGTTGGAAAGACTGGTTTTAGTTGGCAGGCCAAAAGAGTTGCTACTAATCATATAATACATGTGGGTTGGAAACAATCAGACAAGGTTCAAAAATTAGGGCTGGTATACGATAAATGTGTTTGATGTTCTATTTTTAGTTGTTTCCTTACAACTTTCTTATGTGTGACGTGTTTGATGTTCTTGTTACACTCGGGATGAGATCTTTGTTCACTTATTGGGTTGGTTCTTGTTGCATAATATATATGGGTAGGATGACAAGCATGTATAAATTGGAGCTTAGATGTAGGATAGGTGAACACATTATAATTTGGGGATTTGCAACTGAACTTCATTTTACTTTTAATGCTTATACAATTTAAATCCTCCTGAGCTATGGAATTGGAATGAATCTTTACTTTATGTGTAGTGCTCGGGGGTAATGATAAGAAAATTAGCCTTTTTCCTATCAAGCAATGAAGATATTTATAAGTTTATAAAGGGTACGTCTTCTCATTGGCAGCATGTGACTTTCCATGAATTCAAATTATCATATTAATCTTTATAGTGAAGAGATTGCACACTTGAAATCCTCAATGAATTTTATGTTGACTGTAGTCTTGTTCATAATATATATATATATGTCTATATATTCCCATGCACAATCCGACCCCATGATGAGAGCCTGCACTACGGTGGGGATCGAATCCTTGCCAGAGGGGACTTACAGTGACCCTGCCTACCATTTGGACAAGGAATGCGACACACGCACGCACGCGCGCGCGCATACACACAG